CAAACGCTGCCTGAGCTAAGAGAAGCAGCATGTGCACTACAAAGGGTAAATGTTAACTTCTGCTAACATTTTACAAGCACACCGGAAGGCCCAGGAGTGTAATCTCTAGACCAAAGTCCATTCCCTCTTTAGACAATGACAGTAATTGAATCACTGACCTACAACACCCACCGTGGCCTACAAGGATAAGGCCCTCTTGGTCATGCAGAGGAATGCTAAAAAGAGGATGTGTGCTGCCTTCCCTTCTTAAAAACCAAGCATCCAACACAGCAACCTCTACAATGCTAACAGCACAAACAGGAACACAACTCTTGAGAAGTCCCACCAAATTCAAGTGCTCAAACCTGCTGGAAAATTCATGCGACTTGATGACTAACTGCAGGGATTTGTTCTGAGTGTGCTTCTTTGTTGTTTGGTTTGTTGTGTTCCTGTTCTCTTTTTCAGTTTTTTAAAGAAATGAAGACAAGGAATGTTCTGCTGCAGCCTTTTCTCATCCATGGTTTTGCATCTGTTTGGGTGGAAAACGCTCGGCCTTGTTTCATACTCCCAGCCATGCAGAAGCACATGAATTTTACTTCCTGTGTGGGTGATCTCAAGGATTGCAGGGACTACTGGATCCACACAGACACTTCAGTGTCCACTGAATCATACATACATATTTTCGTTATAATGTAGTGCAGTTCCAAACATCAGTGCAGAAGAAATTTGATTTTGAATCAGACAGTGCATAATCTATACTGAATTCTAATTAAAGTTTACAAAAAACACTGACAGTAATTGGTAATCTGCAAGTTTTTCTAATTACTTAAATACCCGTTATAGCAGGAAGTGGTTCATTAGTAAGAATTCAACTGTTCTTAAGTATCCAAATATTCTGCTTTAAACACAGAATCATAGATTCCTAGAATGGCCTGGCTTGAAAAGGACCACAATGATCATCTGGTTTCAACCCCCTGCTATTGCAGGGTCACCAACCAGCAGACTAGGCTGCCCAGAGCCTGTTTTTAGCCTATTTATGAATGGTGACAAAATGATTATTCCTTCTGTAATGATGGAAGTGTATTTCAGAGGAAGTACTGATAAGTGGTGAGAGCAAGAAAGAGAAAGTACTACATTTAGGAACACTAACAAAAATTAAGCCCATTAGAAATCTACTGACTTTTTACTGAAGCTGTGTCAGGATGAGAGATTTCTAAACCAAAAGGATTCTTCACTTGTCTCATCTGCTTCTTCAGTACTCTGGTGCTGGATTCTGCTTCTTCTGAGTTTCTGAGAATAACAGGAACACCCAAACCGAACCTGAGAGACACAAATAAGAGCAATGAGCACCTTATGCACCGCTGTTGGCATGTTTGAGTTTCTGTTCAGCTCTAAGTAACTTGCAGCACAACAAATGGATTCAGTGTGGCTCTGCACAATATCTGTTAGGATGCATATAAGAGAGCATATAAACAGGAGGGGGAACGGCTGTTTGTGAGGGTGGATGGTGATAGGACAAGGGGGAATGGCTTTAAACTGAGACAGGGGAGGTTTGGGTTGGATATGAGGAGGAAGTTTTTCCCCCAGAGGGTGGTGAGGCACTGGCACAGGTTGCCCAAGGAGGCTGTGGATGCCCCATCCCTGCAGGCATTCAAGGCCAGGCTGGATGTGGCTCTGGGCAGCCTGGGCTGCTGGTTGGTGACCTGCACACAGCAGGGGTTGGAGCTGGGTGAGCACTGTGCTCCTGTGCAACCCAGGCCATGCTGTGATTCTGTGCATAAATAACACAGCCTGCCAATTCAGCTCCAGCTTTTCATGGCAGAACATAGGGGTCTTCAGTGTTTAAAAACAAACAAACAAACAGAGGGAGAATACTTTGACAATATTTCCGGAGAGAAATTAGTGAGGATGGTCAATGCCCCCTAGTGGTAAACGGTTAACCAAAGCTTTCTTACATTGACATTCTGCACATCCAACCACAGGACAAAAAAGCCATTGCTTACTGAGATGGAGCAGATTTAAGGGACTGGGTGCTGTGCAGGAAGACCTGCGAGTGAATCATCCAGCCCTGTGGTAAGCATAGCTGTAACTGCAGCCAGTGAGATGGCTGTAGAGATCAAGATCCTGATTTTGCATTTTATCCTCGATCACAACAAAATGCCACGTCTAAATCAGAGGTCTTACAACCTCTGCATTGAGCCAGAAACCAAATGTGAAACAGCCAAGACTGAATCACAGGTGCAACTCCAAGACCTCTGCAAAGGTGAAACTAGCACGCAAGCCCAAGCTGTAGCTTGACTCTAAAGGGACAACTTCTGAACCTTTGCTTCCTGTACTTAAGCATCCCATAAGCGAAAATAAAAATCAATGAAAATGACAAGAAATATTTCAGGGTGGTTTCTGACATCATCTTAAAAACCCTGAGGTTTTCACATTGCCCAGGGCTCTTAGAGAACTGCCACAGAAGATCAAGATCTACAAAACAAGCTCCATAGAAAGCTTCCTTTGTCTTTTGGCTAAAAACAATTCAGTGTTAAGGTGACAGTAATAACTGTCAGTAAGCAAAGGATAATTAGAGAAGCCACCCTAGACACACAGTCAGAAAAGTGCTTCAGAGACCGATGGGATTTTTGTACCTGCGTTAATCCAGCACTGCCTCATTCCTGAGGTGACAGGGAGAGGCTGTGGGGGTCCTTTGCTAATCTAGTTGAGAACACAGCTATTAATTAGCTCAGGCTGCACCGTCACCATTTAGTGCTGCTGCTGCCATCGCTGTCTGTTCAATGGCCTCAGATGTTATTTGTTACTCCGTCTTTCATAAATTCCTTTGGTCTGTCAGACTGATGGAAGCACTGACATTTCTTTGCTGATATAACATAGGGTGCTCAGCCACGTTTAGTTTGTGCATGTGGAACATCAGATATCCAGTGCAACTAAACACAGCCATGCCTACTTTGCAGGGGCTGTAATGAATTATGCCAGCTTCACATCTTACTCTTAAAGAACCCAGGTGCAGCAGCTGCTCCACTTATTCAGCATCTAAGACTCAGTGGAGCTAATCTCTCCAGCCACACATAAAGATGCCTCCTGTTTTATACCATCTGGCCGATTCCAAAGTAAGAACCCCGTTCATTGGAAACTTCCAAATCCTCTGGTTGAAAGCAGCAGGATAATCACCATGAAAAAAAAGAAAGAAAGAAAAAAAAGGCTCCAGTATGGTTTTAGCAGCAGCTGAAGGCAAAAGGCCCTCTCTGCTCAACAGTAAGATACAGTGCTTCTGTCAATTTTAAGGCAGCATTCAGCACACAAGGGATGAAAAAAGCCTTTCTGATTTAACTTTCCACCAGCCCAGGTTGACAGCTGGTATGTGGGACAATTAATTTCTTTAGAACCACCCTAGTTTACAAAAGGCAGGTAGTTCCAATGGTTTTGTTCTAGCTGATTTCTTCAGTGGGCCGTGCGGACGTGGAAGAGATGCTGAGCTCACAGCTTCCCCTGCTACAAGCATTCATCTCCAGTCAGGAGGCAACTCACAGGGCCATATGCAGCCAGCCTAAACTCCACTTTTGTCTCTGTGCCCATCTAATGAGCTGGCTCTTCCAGCAAGCTTCCTGTTCTGTAACCTATTCTCTAAGTAGGGCCACTGCCTGTAAAAAAATGATGCTCTTCAAATCAAGGCATGGTTTTGCTAATTCAAACATCAGCATTCCTAGGCAGTTGGTGTTTTTCAGGCTAGCTGCCACCATCACGTGTATGTTTATGAAACAGGCTGATGATTGATGGATCCTGAATGATTGATTGATCCTGGAGAAAAGAAGGCTGCAGGGTGACCTCAGTGCAGCCTGCAGTACCTGAAGGGAGCCTACAAACAGGAGGGGAATCAACTCTTGGAAAGGGGAGATGACAGCAGGACAAGGGGAAATGGTTTGGAGTTGAGAGAGGGGAGATTGAGGCTGGATGTCAGGGGGAAGTTGTGTGCTGTGAGAGTGGTGAGGTGCTGGAACAGCTGCCCAGAGAGGCTGTGATGCCCCGTCCATCCCTGGAGGTGTTGAAGGCCAGGTTGGATGGGGCCCTGGGCAGCCTGGGCTGCTGTGAAATGGGGAGGTTGGTGGCCCTGCATTGGTGGGGGGTTGGAGCTTCGTGATCCTTGTGGTCCCTTCCAACCCGGGCCATTCTGTGATTCAGTGATGCTGAACATGATGGGGTGAACAAAGCGTCATTATGGCAATCCATCAGATAGCATGCATTCAGATGATACCATATGAACTTATAGCATCCTGTGTAGCAGATTGCTTTCATGAGTTAAGAGGTTCAGAAAGTACTTTGGCAGAGCTGTAGCTGCAGACACATTGAATTTGCTTGGAGGTTCTTGGATTCTTCAGTGCTGGACATGCTTTTATTAAGACTGAATATCTTTAGAAAGAGATTTTCACCTTCACCAGATGCAAAGCAATCTACAAAAGTTACACGTGGAAGTTAAGTTCACCTATGTTCAGTTAACAGATGAGTTAACATAGATTGAGTTTAACATTTAGAGAAGCGAGGTCTATCATTGAGATGTGATAAAGGTGCACAGTGATAAAATAACCCCTATCTATAGAATACAAGGTTTTCAGAAGATGTAGTCCATCAGAAATACACTTCCCTGCTCTCTCAATTATCTATGCAAAAGCATGTCACAAGAAATAAGACCTGGGGAAAATAACTAAAATAATGAGTAATTTGGTAAAGAAACACTGGTTTTTGCATTTATATACAAGAGATTTATTCAAAACATGATTTAGTATCTCGATTGACAGATGAAGTGAAAAAGGGGAGTGCAGTGAATGGTAAGATAGCACTGCCAGTGCACAGTGGGACAGAGGGAATTGTGAAGAAAGATTTCTACCACCTCTCCTGAAGTAAGAAACGATGTGGAGCTTCATCCAGCAGGACCAACCTTGCCTTCACTTCCACCTACCCAGCACTAGGGGAGGCAACGCAAAACAAGAATAAAATCTTTCCACAGAACATATCTGAAAGATCAAAAGGTAAATTAATTCAGACTGAAAGCAATTGATGGTATATCTTTGAGGCAGTAGCAACTAATGAAGTGATGTAAACAAGAGCAAGACATTGCACTAAAGGAAAAGTCTGCCACAGCATTTATAAGCTGCCAAAAGAACAAAGAGCTACAGCTAAAACATCTGCATTTTAATGAGACAAAGAAAGCAATACACTGAAGCACAGCACTTCAGATATTAATACTGAGCCAAGAGGATGAAATGCAGTTTCCTCCAGAAACCACACAAATGTCATGTATTCACATTCTGATTGCCAATCGATGCTCTCAGCTTGGCATGCATCCGTATTTATTTAAGTGCTTTCTTTTGAGAGTGGTGAGGTGCTGGAACAGCTGCCCAGAAAGGCTGTGATGCCCCGTCCATCCCTGGAGGTGTTCAAGGCCAGGTTGGATGGGGCCCTGTGCAGCCTGGGCTGCTGTGAAATGGGGAGGTTGGTGGCCCTGCCTGTGGTGGAGGGTTGGAGCTTCATGATCCTTGAGGTCTCTTCCAACCTGGGCCATTCTGTGATTCTGTGAAATGATGAAGCTGACACACTGGTTCAAGTCTGGTGGATTGAGGATTCACCATATGAGAGCATCGCCTGATGGTCGCATCAGAAGCTGGACAAAAGACAACGTATGCAGCTGCTAAAGCATGGGGACTGCCCATACAACTGTCTGATACTGTCCAAGTTTGCTAAGAACTCAAGGCTTTACCAGCTCTAGAAATTCAACCCCCTGCTTGTTCATAAGATGGAAGTGCTGCTCCGCAGTGCCCCGGCTCAGCAGCAGGTCTGCCAGCAGCGCTCACACGCAAGGAGCAGGCTGGGGATGGCTGGCTCACTCTCCTCATCTGCCTCTGCAGCCCGTGCAGACAAACTCATGGAGCCTTAAGCTTCAAGACCTTGGGATTAAACTGCAGAAAGGAGAGCGGCTGCAGTGTCAGCACAGGGAATACAGACAAAAATAGGAAAATAGAAAAAATAGACAAAGAGAGGAGAAGGGGGAATGGTTTTAAACTGAGACAGGGGAGGTTTAGGTTGGATATGAGGAGAAAATATCACCACCAGAGGGTGGTGAGGCACTGGCACAGGTTGCCCAAGGAGGCTGTGGATGCCCCATCCCTGCAGGCATTCAAGGCCAGGCTGGATGTGGCTCTGGGCAGCCTGGGCTGCTGGTTGGTGACCTGCACACAGCAGGGGGTTGGAACTGGATGAGCACTGTGCTCCTTTGCAACCCAGGCCATTCAGGATTCTATGATTCTATTCTATGTTTTTTCTTCTCACGTGTGCATGCAAGCTGTGCAGAAGTGGGATCTCAGCCACACTGTTAGAGGTACATGGAAAGCCCCTTCTAAACTGCAGAGAAACAACAGGTGTTTTTTTTACATACCCAACAAATTCAGACTTAATCTGTGGAAGTCTGCACATTTTTACTGCTAAGTTTAGCAGCGTTAGATTCCTCCTTGATAGCTGCAACTGGACTGACTTCCTTCAGCTAACTCTTCATCATCATTCTGTGATTCTTTCCCCCACACAAAGCAGCCGCTCACCCACTCCAGCAGGTTCCAGCCCCCCTCATCCAGAAACCCATGACATCCAACACAGCCTCACTTCTCCCACCACCCCAGCCCTCACCCCACAGCTCCATTCCCACATCGCAGCAGCCCCCCCCCCCCCCCCATTACTTCAGCCCAGGCCCACCGCCCTACACCGGCCTCACAGGCAGCACCGGCCCCCCGCCGCACTCACCAGCCCAGCACCAGGCCGCTGGTGACGAGGAAACAAACGAACACCACCGTGATGTAGAAAAGCGGCGAGTACTCATAGAGTGTGACGAGAAACACAGTGGCCATAGGGCCGACCAGCAGACAGCCGAGCCCAGCCGCCCGCCCCACCAAACAGGCTACCGGCCAGCTGCTGCGCAGAGCGCATGCGCAAAAACCGGACGCATGCGCAGCAGCGGAGTGAAGCCGTTGCCCTCACTTTAGCGCCCTCTCCTGAGGGAACGCCTCTTTGCCATGACACCGCGCGGAGGGCGGGGCCTCGGCGTCATGGCAACGGGGCGCGGCGCAAGGACGGAGGGGGTCACATGGCCTCACGGCACGCGCCTTTGCCCTTTCCCTTTCCTTCTCTCTCTCTGCGGGCCTTGAACCTCCCCGCTTCCCGTAGGCGGCTGCCGGTTCCCGCCCAGACGCGGCGACGATGCTGATTGGCTGAAAGAGAGGAGCGGGGAGGGAGGGAGGAAGGCGGGGTCCTTTTGGCGCAGGCGCAGTGGAGAGGGTGGTTCAGTGAGGAGGCGGCGGGGCGGCGGCGCGGACGGTTGTGGTGTTGGCGCGCGCGCGCTCAAGATGGTGAGAGGAGCTCGCGCTGCCTGAGGGGGGATGGGCGGGACGGAACGGAACTCTGTGGGGGAGCGGGGTTTGTGTACGTACACCTCTTTCCTGCGGGTTTGGGCTCAGCCCCGGTCGGGAGTGAGGGAAACGCTCCTTTCTGAGAAGAGCTCTGAGGAGAGCGGGGCTCGTGGCGGCTGTGGGAGCCGTGGGGAAGCTTAGATCTGAGGAGAAATAAGCACAGGGGAAGGCGGTGCGCGCGCAGCGCTTGCAGCTGGAGGAGCCCCGTGACAGCAGAGCCTGCGATTTATTTATTTTTTTTTTTAGTTATTTTTATTTATTTTTTTTACGAAGTTTAAAAATCTTGAGGCAGGAAGATCTTAGGAATTGTCGGGTAACGGGCGAGCTGGAGCCGGTGGCTGTGCGAGGTGTGCTGGGGGGAGGCTCAGGAAGCGGTGCGAAGATTGCGTGTGTCAGGGCAGCAACCTGCGGGTGACACCGCTGCTTCCTTCCCCATCGTCAGCGTGGTGACTCATAGGGCAGCTGGGTGCTGCTTCGGAAAGCTCAGGCTTCACAAATGTTGCTCCCGTTTTTTTAAACGCTTTGGTTTTTTTTCCGCTCGTGCTGCTGTGTGTTAGTTCCATGGAGTTGGCTTGTCAAGTCTTGAGGGAACGCCTCTTTCCTTTTAAGGGCTGTGTTGTGGGAAAAGAAATCCTTGATAGCAATGGAGGAGAATAGTCTTGCTTCAAGGATGCAACACAACGTGTTTATAGTTAAATGTTGGCTTTGAGGAGGGATGGAAGGACAGGAAGGTGTGTTGTTCTTAAAGCCTGCTTTCACAGAATGGCCCGGGTTGCAAGGGACCTCAAGGATCACGAAGCTCCAACCTCCACCACAGGCAGGGCCACCAACCTCCCCATTTCACAGCAGCCCAGGCTGCCCAGGGCCCCATCCAACCTGGCCTTGAACACCTCCAGGGATGGACGGGGCATCACAGCCTCTCTGGGCAGCTGTTCCAGCACCTCACCACTCTCACAGCACACAACTTCCCCCTGACATCCAACCTCAATCTCCCCTCCTTCAGCTTCAAACCATTTCCCCTTGTCCTGCAGTTATCTATCCTTCAAAGAGTTTATAGGCTCCCTTATTTCCTGGTTTATGTGTATGCTTTGAAACTTCTGACAGATGACTTCAGTTCCACTTCCTAAGAGTTTAAGGGCACATATCCCTGATGTGGGGGTATTTCTCATATTAAAAAGATTTCTCTCAGCTGTCTTTTATCTCTGCAATTCCCTCCATAGAGTGAATCTCTGGTGGTTTGTGATGTTGCTGAAGACCTGGTGGAGAAGCTGCGAAAATTCCGGTTCCGTAAAGAAACCAACAATGCTGCCATTATAAGTAAGTTTAAAACATGACTGGTGAAGATCCTACGGTCCTGTGGGATCCTTTCTTTCTCCCCATGTAGTTTTGTTCCTGTAACAGGTAGGTGTGAGCCAAGATTCAGCGTCTGCCATGAACTGGAGTATCTCCTGTCCTACATCTCTACTGCTAACAGTAGGGAAATACAGTTTTAATGACATAAGGCCTGACTTCATCTGCTCTTGGTAGAGCTTTTTGTGGTTAGTTGTGGCTCAGAGTTCATGGCTGGTTTTAAAATGATAGCAAAAACAATTTGTGGCATGGTCACTTCAAGTTTGTAAATTGTTTAGCTTTTAAGGGTGATATTTTTGACCCTTGTCTCTGAAATCTGCAAAAGACACATTGCTGTGAACAGCCTTTGTATAACTTCTGACTTCAGGGATTTCGTGAAACCATGGGACAGGATCTGAAGAAATAATGGAGGGATGAGAAATGTACTTGTGTGGTGCTGTTAAAAAGCTTTATGCTTATGTTGTGTAAATCAGTTGAAAGCTGATCTGTGTTTTATTTTGATTTGTAGTGAAAATCGACAAGGATAAGCAGTTGGTGGTACTGGATGAGGAGCATGAGGTTTGTTAAATGCATTGTAAATAAGAGTATCTTCAGCCCGCAATGTATTGTTGTCTCTAAGGTACTGCCTTAGTTTCAAATTGTTATCAAACTCTGAATCTAATTTGGGTCATGAGCTGGTTTGAATGCATGGACACTGCATGTAAAGCACGGTGCTATTAATAGTGGGACTGTGCAGAAGTGAGGAACTGTGAGGCAACAAATGAATTGCACGAAATATAAGTTAATTCAAAGCTGTGATGGTGCAACTCTGTATGTAAGAGCATCTTTGGCACCTGCTGGCTTCTCAAAGACTTCTCTGCAGCATTTCCACGTGGATCTGCATATGGATCTCTGAACTCATCTGCTGTCAGTTAGAAGCTAGGCTTGCTAGTCCTTTGCAGCTCCTAAATTTGATAGATGGCATAGTAAGCCACCTTGTAGTATTTCTTAATGGTACATGGGGCAAAATTAAATCCTTCTAAGGGATTTGAGTGTTACTTGTAGCTCTTACACCCTAGAATGTAGCAGCTAACATAGTGTTTGAGTGGCGTGGGGGCTCTTGGCTTGTTCAAGGAGCAATTTCTCAGGGAGCACCTTTTATGTAGCTGGATTTTAACAGATACTTATTTGGATGTGCTTGTTTACTTCTGTTTAGTGCTGGAGTTACAAAAGCACTGTAGCTGCCAGCTTATCCAACTAGAGCCAGAATGTTTTCCAAAGTCATTATGCCTAAACTGGGGATGATTGTTATTAATTAATGTTCACATTAATGTTTAGTCGCAGAAATCTATTAGCAGACAAGCTTTCTTAAGCTGTTCTAGTAATCTGTGTTAGAGATAGTTATCAGTTAAACTGAAGATTGCATCTAACTTGCAGGTGTTTTACCACCCCACTGTTGTGCTTTAGCCTTCACAGTATACCTTCAAGTGCAAGTTCATTTGTTCAAATACTGCTTGTGTTTAATGTTACCAGGGTATTTCCCCAGATGAGCTAAAAGATGAGCTGCCTGAGAGACAACCTCGATATCCTTTTGTGCTGCTGGCATTTGTCTTAGTCACTCCTGGAAGCTGTTCAAATGTTTAAAGTTGAACTTCACCTTTTTAGGCTAATGCTTGCCTGTGATGAGACTTCAGTAACACTTGATTTGTGAGGCATCTTGGGGATCAGTTCTCGTGATGCACCGAATGATTGTCCCAGTTCTTAAAGACTTAAAACAGCGACTGATACAGTTAGGCCTTTCCCAAGGCTTTATTTCCTTCTAAGCTACGCTCTGTAACATTTAGGGAAGTGCTGTTAACTCACGAAACAAGTGAAGTGCACCAGTTTTGCATGTTGCTACTTGCAAATACAGAACACTGCCCGTGTAACTTAGGATCTGTTTTGGTGCTTTCCTAGCTGTTTTGCTGCAGGTACTGCTGCTGGGAGCACTTTAGGCTTGGGATGTAGGGGAGAATCCCTGTGCTGAAAGAGGGGAGGGGGAAAAAAAAAGTGAGTTGGCAGAGGGAAGTGAACTTTTTCTAACTAAACAAAACAAGAGGGGTACTTAAGCTACAGCTGATGAAAATATCTGTTTTCAGTATCCTTCAGAGCTGGCTTGCAACGTTCCAGGTGCCATTCTGAAACTACTTCCATGACTGTTGTGCAGCAGGAGGCTGTAAAGCAGGAATTCAAACTCCTGAGAGCACCTGGAGCAATGAAGTGCTCAGTCTGTGCTGAAGGGATGTGGCTTTCAGCAGGCCAGCAGCAAGACAGCCATGGGTGTGAGAAGTCTTCTTACCAAAGTGGAGGAGGAATCTTTGCAATGAAAGGGGTGTTTTTAGCTGTCTGATCTTGAACAGCTGTAAGGAGGCAACCTTCACCCTCTGGCTGCTGTAGAGGTTGGTAAAAACAGGCAGGCTCAGTTCTGAAAGTCAAATATGGAAGTGAAAGTAAAAGACAGACTGCAAATTTGAGTCATCTTCTAGAACGCGTGACTTCTTTGTGCCTGTATCAAGCTCTGATAATTGATGATTATCCTCACCAAATAATTGGTTTCTCAGTTTCCTTAACCTCAGAAAGAACATTTATTGTGTACAGTTACAAGTATCAGCATGAAGATGGAAGAGTTTCTTATCCGTTGTGCTTTATCTTCTCCAGTCCTGTTGGTGAGTGAACCCTGTGAATGGCAGCTACTGTGTGCTGTAAATGTGGGAATGTTCTGTGCAGTAGAAGAGAAGTGCTTAATGCTCAAATATTGGTGCAAGGCTGAATTTATTTATGCCTGTGCTGCAATCAGGGCACTATAAAGCTGTGGCACTGCCTGGAGACCTTTTTTGGAAGAGAGGAATCTCTAGCATATTAACTCTGTCCTCACCATCTGCTCGAGGCAATTGTTAACACTCCCATCTGCCCAGATCTCCCTACTTGCTAGAGGTTTTCACTGCATTTGGGGTTCACATTTAAGACACTTAGGTAGTAGAGTGCAAATATGCTTTGTTTTCCATTTCTGAAGGCTGAAGTGAAATATCAGTTTCCTGCATAGGTGTCCAAACAGTGTTTTTCTGACTGGGCCCACTGTGATCTCAGTGGCACGCTCTGCAACGTTTTCCTCTGAATGACAGGAGCCTGCAGTGCTCTGCATCTGTTCATGTAGGTTTAGCAGTAATGCATTTCCTTGTCAGCCTCTCATCAAATCTTGGGGATTCCTCAAAGCATGACCAGAGTGGCTTCAGGAAATGAATGAGGAGAGGGCTGGAACCACCTCTGTATGTCCTGCATTTGGGGTGTTAAGACAGTGGGCAAGAGGCAATTCCTGTCCTTCTCAGAAGGCCTTGTCTGGCTGTGAGAGGATCAGGACTGCATAAAAGGGAAAGGATGGAAGCTAAGAGGATTTTCTTGCAGACCTATATGTAATGGACAGCAACAATTGCCTCTCAGCAGTGTTGTGATTTGGAAGTGTCACAGCTGTAGCTAAAAAGGAGAATAGGAAGCTCCATAACTCAGATCTGGGCAGGTAAAAGTGTGAGTGAACAGAAAATATCTGAGGGGGGGAAAAAAAAAAAAGTGTAACCAAAGATCATCCCAAGTTTTTACAGCTTGCTCTGCTTGCTTCACAGCAACCCCCATCATAAACTTACCTGTGCAGGGAAGTGTCTAATATAAAAATCATGGTACGTTTCAGCTGACTTGGTTTGATCTGAGTTTGATCTTTGCATGTGCTATAAAGATTGGAGTAGAACAAGGAGAAATTTCTGGAAATCTTCCAGAAAGAGCAGGATGGCAAAGAATGGTGTGTAATGTAACCAGCACACCACTGCAGTGGCAGGAATTACTGCTTTGATGGCTGTTTTACTCTGAATTGCAATTCCAGTTCAGATACTGCAGTATCAGATGTTTCTGAGTAGAAATACAGGTGCGTGTTGAGAGCATTGATTCAACTGTTTAAGTGCCAAGTATGAGCAAAGATAATACTGAAGAATATAAACATTTACTGAAGTATGTACAGAACTGGTCACTTTTCTGAATTTAAGAAGTGGCCTAATTCAGCTTTCAATTAAAAAACAAATAATTTTGAGGTGTAGCAGCTGAAATAACCAAGCACCACCTTTGTCTTTTTTTTTTCTCTCCACACAACTACAGGATGCAAGCCTGAGCAGCAGATGATGTATGCTGGGAGCAAGAATAAGCTTGTACAGACAGCTGAACTCACTAAGGTATAATTAATTAATTGAAGTAACTGCCTCTGCATCAAATGTGGTTTGCTGTTTAGTGTCTTGCTTGAACCCAGCATGAAAAGGATGTTACGAGACTTTGTAATTACAGTGTGTAGATTCTGTTTTAGGAAGACTGAAGACAGCAGGTTTTTTTGGAGGTAGGGGGGATTTCTTCTCTTTTAGATGTCAGGAAGAACAACGTTCCAAAAAGTAACTGAAGTACCCTTCAGTAGGATGGAAATCTTCACTTCCACAGTGTATTGAAGTACAGGCTGAAGGTTTGGTATGGTATAGACTGGTTTTGGGGTTTGTATGCTCACAGAACATACCTACCTACCTTTCAGGGTATGTGACATTCGTGCCAAGTGCTGAACAATCCTAAATCTCCCTGCGTTTGTCCTCTCCAGTACTGAGACCAGAAGAAATCATAAAACGGCCTGGGTTGAAAAGGCCCACAATGATCATCTGGTTTCAGCCCCCCCCGCTATGTGCAGGGTTCCCAACCACCAGACTACCTAGGAATGGATGTGAAAGTCCATGATTATCTTCCTTCTGAAGTTGTTTCCTCCCTCTTCAGATGTGCTTTCCTCTGCCCTTCACTGAGCCTTGATTCATTCTAGCTCGTGCTTTTTCTTCCTACTGTGACTTCTGCATGTGAGCTTAAGTCCTCTTATTTTTCTCACTGGCTTCCATGTTAGCTTGGCTCCTGGTAAGCTAAATGAATGCTCTAAAATTCTATTTAGAATGCTAAATTTTTTGTTCCCCTCACCCTATATCTTTTACAAGAGGAAAAAAAATAGCATTAGTTGGTAGTTTCACTGCCTGGACACGAGGGGCAGCATTCAGAGTCCAAACCATGTGAGATGGGAAACGAGGGGAAAAATACAAACAGCCAGAATTGTTTCATGAAGAGGATTGAAATGCTAAAATGGCTCAGGAAAGGACTGATATGGAGCTCATTTTAAAACAGTGGGTTCACTGGGAAGCTTGAATTGTGCATCCTCTAAAAACCTGGTGGCTCTGCTGGTGGCTCTGCTGGTGGCTCTGCTGGTGGCTCTGCTGGTGGCTCTGCTGGTGGCTCTGCTGGTGGCTCTGCTGGTGGCTCTGCTGGTGGCTCTGCTGGTGGCTCTGCTGGTGGCTCTGCTGGTGGCTCTGCTGGTGGCTCTGCTGGTGGCTCTGCTGGTGGCTCTGCTGGTGGCTCTGCTGGTGGCTCTGCTGGTGGCTCTGCTGGTGGCTCTGCTGGTGGCTCTGCTGGTGGCTCTGCTGGTGGCTCTGCTGGTGGCTCTGCTGGTGGCTCTGCTGGTGGCTCTGCTGGCCCTAGCTTGCTTTCTGCAGCTATGCAGTTAGCCAGATAAAGCTATTTCAGCACTAAATCAGTTATTTTCAGTCTTGTCAGGACAGGAACAGTAGAGTGCAGTGAAATACTCCCCTTGTTCACTGCCTAGCAGAATGTTCTTGAAGGCTTGTTGATTTTATTTGCTTGAATCTCCTGAAAAGATAACCTGCTTGTTGGCATCTCAAGGACAGTACAGAATTAGCTTACCCTCTCAAGGGTGTTAAAGCTCAAATTCTAAATCACTTGCACGTATGGGATGTGAAGAGTTCCCTGGCTGCTTTGGTCTCATTTGCTGCTTCCAGGCTTTATTGAGAGCTGAAGACTTGCACGCAGCTTTGGGTTGGTTCTCTGTGAGCCTTCTGAGGCATCACGAGCCCCTTTCTTTAAGGGCAAACCTATTATTAGATGCTGTGATTTTACTTCAGAACAGCTGTATGTGGGGCTTACGAGCACGCTTCCTGAACTTGGATCTTAATTCAGCCTAGAGGTTAAATTAATTTCTGCTGTTGAAATACATCCTATTGCTGAGATATTTAAGGAGTGCTGTGTGAGATGATGTGATTTCAGAGCAAGTTTAAAATGTAGCAAATGTTGTCATGTGCTATTTTCTTTAAGAACAAGAATGAAGTCTAGAAATAGGAATTGGAGAATTGTTGTCAAGGTATTGACATCCCTTGTCAGTCTTCCACTGGTGTTACTGTAGAATAGTAATCAGTGCATTCAGGAAAGCGAAGGAGAACTCTTGGTTACTGTTTTGTACAGCTTAGACAGCTGATGTGGAAAGGTATTGCTTGCATTGTATCCTTATCTCTTCCAAGTACCAGCAGCACACATATTTCTGCAATGTGATTTTTATTTAGGTATTTGAAATAAGAAATACAGAAGATCTAACCGAAGAATGGCTGCGTGAGAAACTGGGCTTCTTCCATTAAGAAAACCTCTGCCATGAGTATTTATGTACCATCCTGATCGTACTGGAACCAGACATGAATTCTTACAGCTAAGAATGCACTGTATTTGCATCTTGTTTCCTGCAGTATGTCTCTTGTGCAAAGTTTGTGCAAAGAATAGCAGGTCTGTCTCCTTGAAGTAACAAATCTTTGCAGATGTACCTGGTAAAAGGGAATACTCCTCTGCAGGGAATCCTTTTGCACTCTTGTGACTAATATTTCTACAACTAAAATAGTTCAGTTCTGAGTTTATATACAGGCATAATTTGGAAGCTGATGCTAACTTTCTGAGCTACAAATGCATCCTTACGACGTGTAGTAGCCATTTATATGCAAAAACTGTGTACTGTCATTATTGTCAGAATTTATGATGTCCTCTCAACTTTTAAACCATTTAGTGTTCAACAGACAGAATCCTTGTACAGCAGATCCATTTATCCCTCTGTGTTCTGTCCACGGGAACTTCCTCAAATTCTTGGAACTCATTCTTGTCATTCCAGTAATTCCTCAGCTGACTGAGGCAGTCCTACTAAATTTCAGGGCTTGGACTGTCCAGTTCTCATGCAGATGCAGTCTTACAGGGACTAGAAGATCACCAAGGGCTGAGTTACGACTCTGGTTCCTCTCACACCAGACGTCTGGCGTTTCTCACTTACTACACTGTTAAGAAGTTTACCTCTTTGCTCCTTTCCTCTTACACGAACACCTGTGAATACTGTGTGCCTTTAATTTGTTAGCTTTAAAAGGACTTGAGAATTTTACACTGCCACTTAATACAAATTTGGTAAAAACCTTTGTTAAAGAATCCAAGTAACGTTCTTCCTAGTGCCTAGTGCTGCAGATGACATCTGTAAAACAGGAGCTAACCTCCTTGTCTGAGCAATTCCAGTCATCTGCTCTGTTCCTAGGAGTCCAGGAGGTTGAAGCTTTTCATGGTACTGATTTATATCTTTTTTGTTATACGAGTTGGCCACACGTAGCTTTTTCAGTATTTTAATGACAGTCTCTAATTTTCTTAACTGCTTGTTAGTCAGAATTACATTCCAGATGAAAGCTTTTGCATACAGGATTTGATTTATTTTTTTTTTTCAGTGACTTACGGTTCATCTCTTTGAAACAGTCAAGATTCTAATGTGCAAATAGTGTGTAACTTTTATAAATGACCTTTTTACAGAGCCATTTTATACTGAGTAGAGTAGCTGCCTGCTGTGGGACGTCGTGTTCAGCCAACGCAGTGGCAGGAGGAGTGCTGGTGTGTGACAGCATCTCACTGTCTTATCGTGTTTGTTGTGCTGCTGAGTGAGTGTGTGGAAGAGCAGCTTCCTGCTGAAAACATACCTTAAAACACAGCTGCCCTACCAACTCTGCTTGGTGAGGAAGGTTGTTAAATCTGGAGGCCAGTATTTCATGCTGTGAAACCTTTGCCAAATGAAGGCCTGGTTGTTTTGTTTTGTTTTTGTTTGTAGGCATATGTTGTTAGTGTTCTAACACTAATAGAGATCGCAAGGGATTGATTTGCAGAGGTCCTCAGTGTGGATAGATTTCTTAGTTTGATGTTACTGCTCATTTCTTTGTATGTGGATCTGACTTGAGAGGAGCTCTTCAAAATACGTGTTAGAATGATTCAATCAAATTGATCTTTCAGTTCTGAAAGGAAATGCTTGTAATGAAAATACAATTTCTCTGGTGAACTGGAAAACCAATTTCATTTCCCTGGACGAAAAAAGATGTTGACTATGAAACTGCTTGATCGTTCTCTGCTACCACCTTTTATTTCTTAACAAACGTTGTGTAAGTAAGACTTAACTTTAGAAGAATGATGTCAGTGATGGCATCAGTGTTGAGGCAGCAGAAGTCTTGTTTCCTTGGTGTTGTGCTGCAGGTAAGGCCTGTTAAAGTGCAGCGTGGCTGAAGAAAATTTGCCACTTGAAATATTCAACTTGACATTTTTTTGATTGGGAAAACTGGATCAATAGCTCTTATTACTGTATTTCATACACTGCTGGGCTGCCAGCATCCAACTGCTGCTTGCACAGGTCTCAACAAAAATACCTGTAAAAAGGAGACTCTGGAGGAGAGGGAAGGAGCTGCTGCAGTCAGATGAGTGAAGCAGGTTCTGCATCTCTGCATCGCTCCGCCTTCTGCTGAACAACCTCTGCTACTTGAGATCATGGCCGTGTAGTGGAGCTCTTCATTTGGAGTTCTTTACTGTTCACTTTGAGTGTTCTTGCTTCTTCCACTTAGGGATTTCTGCCTTAGATGCTGCCCTTTGAGTCTTGCAGAAAGCAAACTAGTGCTAAAGCCCACGATCTTGGGGAAGGTGGTATTGATGCTGCTCAGCCTGCCAGTATTACTTTTGTAACAGCCTTGCTTCACAGCTGTGGCTCCTTCCCTGCTTTGAGCTGTGGCAGTGAGGAAGCAGCTGCAGGTGCTTGAAGGAAGAATACACAGAGGATGTTTGCCATTCTAGGCTTGTTGTTTTCTTGTTTCCAGTGTTTTGGCACGATTATCTGCCAAGTGCTGTCCCAGGCCCTTGAGATGTAGGTAATGCTAATACTTGCTTAAGCAAAGACATTGATGATATCCAAATCTGTTCCGCACAAATGCTTTTCTTTGTTATTTGTCCCACCTTATCTATGTATATTCCTTAATCCTCCCCCTTTAAGATCAGAGGGAGGTTGGTGTGTCTGTGTTCAGAAGGCCAGTATATTCTGACTGTGATTTGCTGTTACCTGACACCACGTGCTTGTCTTGTATTTTCAGATCTCTAAAGATGGTTCAAACAAGACAAATTTAATGCAGCCTATGGGAGCCTTTGTAGCTGAAAGGTCTGAGAGTCAGCATTTTCCATTGTGAGCTCCTATTTTTCAGGAGTTTGTGAATTGGCCATAAAATCTTTGGCCAAGAGTTTAAGGTCTTTCATGAAGAGACTTCTGCCACGGTTTTGCTTTCAGTATTGACTAGATGGCTGGGATACAGCTCTTGTAATCCTGCTCATTGATTGTGAACTGAATTAAAGCATGAATTTGCATGGCAACCCATAAAATGAATTTGTAACGTTCAGATATTTTTTAACTAACTGTAAATGCTGATATTTGATGGTTCAAGTGTGTTTCTAGAATCATGGACTCTGTTTTGAGCTTTCAGAGAAGGCAATAATGATGATGTTGACACCTTTCCACTTCTCCAAAGGAGCATCTTGTGTATTTGTACCAAGATTCCATTTTTGTACCTTTAACTGTAAAATAAATAGTCCAGAAATAAAGTTAAGCAAGCAGAGGGGGTCTGAGTCAAACACTCAAAAGCAAGGGGTGCTGACAACTCCTCGTGTCGCTGTGCTTGCAAGGACTTTTGGAGTCACACCTTTTGATACGTGCAACCAGTGACTGCGAAGCGCAGCTGTGCTGTGACGTGAGGACTGAGGCTCTTTGCTTTTGCTGCGTGGCCCAGGCTCGCTGTGCCTCGTGCACTGTGGTCTGTCCACGTTGGCATCAGTGCTGCAGGTGGCAAAAAGGTGGGAGGGATTCACGGCCAGTCTTGGAACTCAGCAGTTCCATGAGCATACCAGTAACCAGTGCAACTTCCATATGCTGTTTAGTCTCTGCTAGTTCATATTGCATGTTCACTTTAAACCAAATCTTTTTTGCTAAGCATGGTGCTTGTATTGGTATAAATAAAATGTTTAATTAAGATGTTCTGTTTCCCTGTTTTAATTGCAAAGTAGCACAGAGAGCATGGATCTACCTGAAAGGGGAAGTTGTTAATGTTAGCCACGACCTTCCTCCTCCCAGCAACCTGGAACTTGCTTTGAACTTGTGGTGTTTAGTGTCCACTGTGCTTCCTCACTGGCTCTTCTCAGGGTAAGAATTCCTCTTTCCATCCATTATGAAGGGCAGCAGCGGGAAGGAGGACAGAATGGCTCTTCAGAATTTTTTTTTTCCTTTTCCTACTTGTTGGAAAAGCTGCTGAAAATAGTTGTGGTGATTCAGTGTCAGTAGCTGACGTGTCATCACTTCTGCCAGTGCTGAAAAACAGAATTAATGGACCACAGTTCAGATATGATGGAAGTAAACCCCTTCTTCCTCAGTGCACGCAATCGCCAGTGAATTTAACAGCTGTGATGGAGGTCATGCACAGCAGCTTCAGCACAGCTGGCTTCTGAATGGCTTCCTGGTCACCTGAGTATGTTACAACAGAATTTGCTGCCAACAGCTCTGAGAAAGTTGGCTGAGCTGCTGTGGAACAGAAATGGCTCTCGAGAGCAGCTGATGAAAGAGAAGAAGAAAAGATGGGAATAAAAAGCTCTCGCATTGGGAGGAGGTGACCTGGGCAGCCCCGTGGTGTTCTCTTCTTCACTGAGGGTGCTTAACTAGAAAATGTAGGCATAGCTTACTGATAATTCCAGGTTATCAAGATGATAAAATCAAAAGCTGACTAAAAAGCTTTGCAGAAAGATACAGAGACATGAAGGGCAGCTGCTCCCATTCAGAAAAGGTCATTGGCTTGTAATAGTTATATGGAAAGGTCAGTTGAGTGCTTATTAAAGTGAAAGCTAGAGCAGGAATCAGGAACAAAATGGAGAACCTCTGTGCAGTGGTACAAATCTGCTTGAATGTCACGTACAGGCTGTGTTTTCTCTTCCAGATTTGTCAACAGCTGGCTTGTCTGAGATGAGCTTGCTAAGGAGGTCTCTTAGAATCACAGAATCCTCAGAGTTGGAAGGGACCTCTGAGGACCATCCAGTCCAGCTCCCCTGCAACAAGCAGGGGCACCACAGCTCCCTCAGGTTACCCATGGCCTGATCCAGCCTCGCCTTGAAAGCCTCCAGGGACAGAAGCATCCACCACATCTCTGGGCAACACATTTGTTTTCCAACTTTATATTGAGAAGTTAAGCAAACTTGGCCTTTGTTACCCCTTGAAGCTTCTGTATCTGCTGCACCTTTTGGTGATGCTGTGCAGTCTTGTGGGGATGGCAGGTGTCTGCTGCAGTTCTGAATGCAGTGTCTTCTGCAGCCTCGCCATGGTCTGTCTGGGTTCTGTGTCTTTTCTCCAGTGGATCCATAAAGTGAAGGAGATGATTTTGATACATGTGCATAGATGTAGTAAAATCTGCACGGTTGGTTTTGTGCTTGTTGGTTTGGGCTCGTTTCCTCTGGGCTGCCCTGTGCTGTTTCATTCCTTCAGGGACAGCAAACATCCCCTCTGTTAACCTCATTCACCTTTGGTGCTAAGTGAGGCATCGCATGCAGAACGTGATTGAGCTCAGCTGAAATGCCTCTGACAGCTCCAGCAGTTCCTCAGCAGGAGGCAGAGGAGAGAGGAGAGCAATTATCAGCCAGAAAGACACTGAATGCAGAACAGATGTGAACACTGGGAAAACAGCGGGGCTGTCTTTCATGGCAAATTTACTGCTGCGCTGGGGAAGTCCCATCAAGGCTGCTCCTGCTGTTACGTGCCATGGAAGGCTGCTAGGAGCATGAATGCAGCTTCTCTTTTCTACAGCACTCTGCTCTACAATTAGTGTAGAGCAGCCCTGAAATCCCACGCTGTCCGGCATCTGTTGTTGTCACCTCTTTTCTGAGGGGAGAAAAAAGAGAACAGAGGAAGAAAATGGGGCAGAAAATGTTCAGTTGGAAGGGGAAGGGGGCAGTGGCCATCCTATATGCTTCCTAAATCCCTATGGAGCAGAAGTAGAGCAGAAAGTTAGGGGTCAGTGCCCTTAACTGAGCTGAATAAGGAACAGTAGAGATTTAGCATTTCTTCTAAATAATGTCTTAAGTTTAAATATCTGCTGCTGGATGATAGGAGGAATGCTGTGCCTGCCTTACAGACACAGCCTCACCATCTGCTCTGACAGCATCAAATCCTGGATTGATTTGTGAACGTGATTAATTCAGCAGGATGGCTGGATCGAGGGATGGGAGAGAGATAATATTTATACCCCACCTCCAGCTGTGAATGTGCAGTTGTTTGCTTCAAAAGCACAAAAGGAATTGTGTAGCTGTATTACTGCAAGAGTGACGAAAGAGATGCATCCACTCAACAGCCCTTCTTTTCTTAGGCACCCAGGTTTCAAGGATAGGCTGACATGAGCCTGCTTCTGCTGGCTGGGAGGGGAGCACAGCCATTGTCCTTTTCCAGAGAACTTTTTTTCAGAGAATCACAGCATGGCCTGGGTTACAAAGGAGCACAGTGCTCATCCAGCTCCAACCCCTGCTGTGTGCAGGTCGCCAACCAGCAGCCCAGGCTGCCCAGAGCCACATCCAGCCTGGCCTTGAATGCCTGCAGGGATGGGGCATCCACAGCCTCCTTGGGCAACCTGTGCCAGTGCCTCACCACCCTCTGGCTGAAAAACTTCCTCCTCATATCCAACCCAAACCTCCCCTGTCTCAGTTTAAAGCCATTCTCCCTTCTCCTCTCTTTGTTTTTTCTATTTTCCTATTTTTGTCTGTATTCCCTGTGCTTACACTGCAGCCGCTCTCCTTTCTGCAGTTTAATCCCAAGGTCTTGAAGCTTAAGGCTCCATGAGTTTGTCTGCACGGGCTGCAGAGGCAGATGTGCAGAGTGAGCCAGCCATCCCCAGCCTGCTCCTTGCGTGTGAGCGCTGCTGGCAGACCTGCTGCTGAGCCGGGGCACTGCGGAGCAGCACTTCCATCTTATGAACAAGCAGGGGGTTGAATTTCTAGAGCTGGTAGAGCCTTGAGCTGATTTGGTAATACGGATATAGCCTGAGAGATCAAAAGCAGACTTTGAAAGGACTTGAGATGGAGATGAAGGCTTTTGGAAATCCTGCTTAGTGTGACTTAAGCTTGTCAGTACGGTCTGGACCTGAGGGTTCCGTACTCAAAGCCCCGCAGGATGTCTGTGGACAACAACGAGACAGAAGTCTCCCTTGTCCCACGCTGACTTCTCCCTCCCACATTTTCAAGCCTGTTGCATATCATCTGCTGGGACTCTCAGAGCTGCAGAGGGAAGTGTGACGTTCTGATCACTGGGCCACCTCTTCTGGCTGCTTCATGCATGGCCCTGCTTTGGGGCAGTGATAACGTTACCCCTGGAGGAGCAGATTTGCCCTGGTAGGCAGCTTATTTTAGCTTGATCAAATTGTAACCCCATGTCCAATGGTGACTGTTTCTACTAATTAGCAGTGGATTTTTTTAGTGTTATCATTACATACCAGGTGTAATGCCATTTTAAAGTTCTAAGCCTGTGGTTTCTGCTTCTGTTTATTCAAGCTGAGAGAGCTGCAGTAGTTGATATTGGGATCAGAATTTAAAGCTGTTCTTTGAAGGGCTAAGGATTGAGAACGTGATCTTCAGCCATCACTGCTGCACCTAAACTTGTGTGCAACGTGTTGGAAAACTCCATTTGTTAAAGAGACATCAAGGCCAGGCTGGATGTGGCTCTGGGCAGCCTGGGCTGCTGGTTGGCGACCTGCACATAGCAGGGGGTTGGAGCTGGGTGAGCACTGTGCTCCTGTGCAACCCAGGCCATTCTAGGATTCTATGATTATAGAAAAGTTTTGAGAAAACAACCACTGGTCCCTTTGCTCACTCACACTGATATTCTGCAGGCTTTGCTTTGTATAGCTAGCCACTAACAGGAGAACAAAGCATCCTTCTGGGAGAGCGGGCTGAGCATTTAGCATTGGGCTGGAGAAGGAAATTGGAAGGAAATTCCTTCCTTAGAAGGAAACTGGTGCCATCTAACAGGAACTGCTGGAGGGATTGAGGCCACAGATGGATTTCATGATGAGCTGTGGGGAGATGCCCAGCAGCACTGAGGTCTAAAACTGAGCTTTAGTCGTGATCCTTGTTTCTCTTCAGATTTACTGTCACATGCAAAGGAAGGTTTAACTTTTATCATTTATTTACATGGTCACAAACAGAATGGCTGAGCCCAAGGATGAGTTAATGATCACAACAGGAAAGGATGTTTGCCCAAGGAAGGAAATGAGTGCTAACAAGTTCAGAGAGCTCTTCATCTTCCTGATCAAAGAGTGAGCTGTGAACCAGCATCCTGCCTCCTGCTGTCTGCTGGTGCACCAATAGGGTGAGTGAGAGCAGTGATGTTCTTCTGCCTCGACAGTGATAGGAGAAGGAGGAATGACTTTAAACTGAGACAGGGGAGGTTTAGGTTGGATATGAGGAGGAAGTTCTTCAGCCAGAGGGTGGTGAGGCACTGGCACAGGTTGCCCAAGGAGGCTGTGGATGCCCCATCCCTGCAGGCATTCAAGGCCAGGCTGGATGTGGCTCTGGGCAGCCTGGGCTGCTGGTTGGTGACCTGCACACAGCAGGGGGTTGGAGCTGGATGAGCACTGTGCTCCTTTGAACCCAGGCCATGCTGTGATTCTATGATTCTATTCTATGTTTTTTCTTCTCACGTGTGCATGCAAGCTGTGCAGAAGTGGGATCTCAGCCACACTGTTAGAGGTACATGGAAAGCCCCTTCTAAACTGCAGAGAAACAACCGTTTTTTTTTTTTACATACCCAACAAATTCAGTCTTAATCTGTGGAAGTCTGTACATTTTTACTGCTAAGTTTAGCAGTGTTAGATTCCGCCTTGATAGCTGCAACTGGGCTGACTTCCTTCAGCTAACTCTTCTTGTGACCAGACTGTAAGCACTCAATTATGGCTGATCGTGTGTCTGTTCTCTGATAGGAACAAATGCTTCGGAGGGATTCAAGATGGACACACACTGACATTTTCCCTTGTGATTCCAATCAGGATTAAATTGGTCTGGTATTGAATGTGGAGGTCGGTGTCCCTGCCTGTGGCGGGGGGTTGGAGCTTCAATGATCCTTGAGGTCCTTCCAACCCTGGCCATTCTGTGTTTCTGTGATTCAACTCAGTGAGTCCAGGAAGATGCATTAGAAGCTACAGGCCATCTCCAGACCACTGCTGTGCTTCCCTCGTCTTGTTTTCTTGGCTCTTTTATAATTCATACACGGAAGAAGTTGTTCTAATCAGAGCAAATCCTGAGGAGGTGGCTGCTGTGTGTTTGGAAATCCCAAACAAATGAGTGAAATGAAAACCAGATTGGGCCTTTTCTACAGAATTTGCTCTTCGTTCCCTTGGTGTTTTAAAAAGCCAATCCGTAATACAACACACCTTTCACTGAACAAGCCTTTGTCACACAGAACTGCTGCCCTCTGTTACTCCGGACAAGGGTCCCTGCAGAGGAATGGCTCCTCTGGCAAAGATCACTGGTTTAGTTTTGTGTCCATCATTCATTACAGCACCTGCCCAGAAGTGACTGCAGCACTGCACAAGCAGAAGTGACCCTGCATTTATTATTATTATTGTTACTGCAGGGACTTATACGAACCCATGGGAGAAATATATCCGAACTTCTCCTCCAGCCGTTTGTTTTCTCATCTCTTTGCTGTTTCCTCTGGCTCCGGGTTGTGCCGATCCGAAGCGCAGTGAGCCCGTTTCGCTGCGGGCACGCGCACTCCGCGCTCTCATTCTTTCCTATCTGCCGGTTCGCGTCTCCCACCGAGCCCGCGCACGTGGCCACGCCCACTTTCACGTGGCCACGCCCACCGCCACCTCAGCAGTGCCGGCGGGCACCACCAGGGGGCGCCATAGCCCAGCGGCTGCGCGGCCCGGCCCCGGCGGTGAATGATCGCGCCCGGCAGCCCCCGCGCCGCGCCCGGCCCGCCGCCACCGCCATGGCGTTCACGTTCGCAGCCTTCTGCTACATGTTGGCGCTGCTGCTCACCGCCGCGCTCATCTTCTTCGCCATTTGGCACGTGAGTGAGGGAGGGGAGAGGGAGAGGGGAGCCGCCGGGGTCAGCCCGGGGGTTGGAGCCGCTCCACGGCGTGGCCTGGGGGGAGCAGTGCCAGGCCGGGAGGGAATGGAGGGGATGGGATGGGGTGGACGGAATGGGAGCCTTTGGTGCTTTAGAAGCTGTTGGGAAGTAACGCTGGCAGTGCGGCCCTGTGCCCACGCGTTGCTTTTGGCTCATGGAACGTCTTTCTGCTTCCGGGCTGTAGAATCACAGCTGTTGCAATTCGGTTGCAGATTATAGCGTTTGATGAGTTGAAGACAGATTACAAGAATCCCATCGACCAATGCAACACGCTCAATCCCGTAAGTTGCTCACTAAAGATTTTGCTTCCTGTGTCCGTGTGAAGTGCTTGTGTTTGCTGTTACCTTGTTAGAATGGAGCGGCAGTTGCATCTGTGCTGAGCAGCCTGGTGGAACTGTAGCGGAAACTCTTTGATTCTTCTGTGCTTTCAAGTTGAGTGTTCTGACTGTTGTTGATCTGTGGTGATCTTGTCAGCTGTCCCACTAACACTCTTTCAATCTGCTTTCTACGTTTTCGGCACAAAGACAGTTGAAAGGGTCAAAAAGATTAAAAGAGTCAAAATTGCATTAAAGGTGTGTACTGCTTCTCAGTTTCATTTTTAACACCGCTTTCATTTCGTTAGGAACATCCGTTATACCTGAGATGTTTCATTCTGTCTGCCTGCTCATCTGCTCGGTTTTTGTTCCGTGGGGTTTCTCACAGCTTCGTGGATTCCCATATTTTGTGCCCAACAATTTTGCTTGCTTTAGCTTCTCTGTCAAGTGAGGAAAACTGTTACATGCCCATTTTGTGTGTCCTGCGGGTTAGAATCAGAGGATAACTGAAGTTGAAGGGGACCTTACAGATCATCCAGATGTAACCCCTGCCACTGGGGGTTGTTGTAGTAACCTCAGGTTGAAATTAATCTTGCCATTGCTGAAGCTCTGAGGTTGTTAGAGATGAGTTCTTATCAAGCACTGAGTGAAGAAATTCCACTTCTGCTTGAGGGTTGAGGTGACTTGAAAGGTGGGACCGGGTGAATCCAATGAAGTTCAGCACAGCACGGTGCAAGGTTTTGCACTTGGGCCAGAGGAATCCCAGGCATCCATACAGACTGGAAGAAGTCCTTGAGAGCAGCCCTGCAGAGAAGGACCTGGCGGTCCTGGTGGATAAAAGGCTTAACATGAGCCAGCAGTGTGCTCTTGTGGCTTGAAAAGCAAATGGTGTCCTGGGCTCCATCAGCAGAAGGGTGGCCAGCAGGGACAGGAGGTGATTGTCCCCCTCTGCTCTGCTCTTGTGAGGCCCCATCTGCAGTGCTGTGTGCAGGTCTGGAGCCCCCAATACAAGAAAGACAGGGAGCTGTTGGAGAGGGTCCAGAGGAGCCACAAAGATGATCAGGGGGCTGCAGCACCTCCACTACAAAGACAGGCTGAGGGAGCTGGGCTTGGAGAAAAGAAGGCTGCGGGGTGAGCTCAGTGCAGCCTGCAGTGCCTAAAGGGAGCCTGCAGACAGGAGGGGAATCAGCTCTTGGAAAGGGGAGATGGCAGCAGGACAAGGGGAAATGGTTTGAAGTTGAGGGAGGGCAGATTGAGGTTGGCTGTCAGGGGGAAGTTGTGTGCTGTGAGAGTGGTGAGGTGCTGGAACAGCTGCCCAGAGAGGCTGTGATGCCCCGTCCATCCCTGGAGGTGTTCAAGGCCAGGTTGGATGGGGCCCTGGGCAGCCTGGGCTGCTGTGAAATGGGGAGGTTGGTGGCCCTGCATGGCACAGGGGGGTTGGAGCTTCGTGATCCTTGAGGTCCCTTCCAACCCAGGCCGTTCTGTGACTGAGGTGGCCATAACACAATACATGTTATCCTCGCTTTTTTGTTTGGTGTTCCACAATCAGGGATGCAGCTCTGATACTCCCTGCTTTGTGAGAAGCACTGGAGGCAAACTGTTTGCTTGCATCTGTAACCAGGAGCACGAGGGGAGCTCGTTCAGGAGCGCAGGGTTTGGTAAATCAGGTGTTTCTGACCCCGTGTCCCATGGCTTTTTCTTTTAGCCTGGTTTGGGGCAGTGCAGAAGTGAGTCCTGCACTGCAACTTGCTGTGTTTTGAAGAGCCAGGTAAATTATCCAGAGGGAAATTTATTTTATAGTAGCTGGGGGGAGAGTGCGTGTCAGATGTGTGGGATGTAAATGGTCAGCAAGAGAAGGGCAGGAGGCCATAGGCAGAGCACTGCTGCCTGGGTAGCCGTGCATCTAACAGTTTCCCTTGCTGGGCCTGCTGCAGTGTGGGGGAAGGCAAATTCTCATTGCATTGATGCATTATGTCGTTATTGCAACCTTTTAATGTATTACAGTGTGCATGTTTAAAGCAAATATTAACTTTCTGCTAACCCACGTGCATGTGGTGGTTGTTTATATGATGGCTTCGTTGGAAATAGTGACTAACTTGGGATTTGTTGTGGAAGGAGGTTAGCAACTGGAAGTGAAGAGCTGGGCTCTTGAAGGGCTTTGCTAAATGGTGGTAAGAGCAGCTGGGAGGGTTGTGGAGCATTGCAAGAGAGCTGTCCTGCTGTGGGAGTAGGATCCAATAGAGAAGGTAAAGAGAAACACGTTCTGAAAGGTGTCGTGAAATCAACTACAGATTTCAGAGCTGGTAAATAGGCTGCTGCACAGAGCAGCACTGGTTTTGTTGTTCCACTATAAATGGAGCCGAGTTGTAGCTGGTAAGTACACCCAGAAGGGGCTGGGCACAGACACGTTGCTGAGACCTTTCAGGTAGGACAGCTTGGTTTTGTTGTGCTTTCACTTTGTTTGGTGTTTGCCACTTCGGGAAGCAAAACGTAGCAGCAGGTGGTGAGGATGTTTCTCGGGAGGATTCAGAATCCGAGGGAGATGGTTTGGGGCTTTCAAACAAGAATTGCAGAACAGTGTGGTGCCGATGCAGTCCTGCAAAGGAAGAAGAGCAGGATGTGTTGTGTGTGTGAGTGCAGGCACACACAGCTGAAATCTGAGCTAGAAATGCAGTATTTCTCAGGAGGAGATGCTTTAGTGCTCCTTAGGTGGGCAGATTTGCTTCTTTCTGGATGGTGTAATAAAAGAGGAATGGATACCGCTTTGAGGTGCCTTGGTCTCGGGGTGGGTGCAAGGTTCTGCTGGCCCTTTGCATGCATTTACTCCACGTAGCCCTCCATAGTACTCCTATTAATGACACTAATAGCTGCTGGCATTTCATGCTTCTGTGGTGTCATAGTAATTGATAGTTAGCTCTGTGGGCTCCTGCTGGAAAGCATGATGCTGCCAAGCATGCACGCCAGGTGCGGGAGGAGGAGGCCGAAGCTGGCTGTGTGTTGACCTGGTGGGCAGAGCTTGGCCTCGGAGATGCCATCCTGGCACCAGTTGGAAGCTGAAAATTACATCTGTCTGCCAGCTTTGTTTCGATATTCCGATATGAAAACATAAAACATCTTTTTGCCTCCAAACCGTTTCGTAGCACGTGTTTCTTGGTGATGTTCCTCTGTTACACGAGCAGAAATATCTCTGTCTCTTCTGTTACAGAAGCCATGTATAAAACGTGGGTCTGTTCACAGTGTGCTTAAGCTAACAGAAGCAATAGAGATCTCTTATTCTGAGCATTTCATTTTGTGAGGTTTTCTTCTCAGTTGATGAATATCATGTGAAAACAGCAAGGCATGTCCTGCTAGTTGCTCTTTTCACTTGCTGCAGTCTTGTTAGTGGTCCTTAAAAGACTTCTTAAAGGCTTCCCTCCAAGATAGATGAAACAATGCACGTTTTGTTTCGAGTTATCCAAACTTCTAACTCGTATTTTTTCTTTTCCAGCTTGTACTTCCAGAGTACCTCATCCATGCATTCTTCTGTGTTATGTTTCTCTGTGCAGCAGAGTGGCTTACACTGGGTCTCAATATGCCTTTGTTGGCTTATCATATTTGGAGGTAATATTGACGAGTCTGGTGTCTGTGTACTCACGTTAATTGTAACTCATTGCAGTGCTTCCTGTTAAGTGTTCTGTGTCTGCAGCAAGTAAGGATGCTTCCTGAGGTGGCAGTGAGAAAGCTGACATCCAGGCTATCAAATAAAAAGCATCGCTTTGCTTCCTCTCCTTGTCTGTATTCCCTTGTGCCGTGCAAGAACCCCATATTGGGCAGCAGTGGCAGCTGATGTGACAGAGGTGCACTGAAGCTGCATACTGACGGCGTGGGCTGCTGGTAGGAGTGGCAGCCCTGCTTCCTTTTGCTGCTAGTTCTGTGCTGTGAGTGGTGAGGTGCTGGAACAGCTGCCCAGAGAGGCTGTGGTGCCCCGTCCATCCCTGGAGGTGTTCAAGGCCAGGTTGGATGGGGCCCTGGGCAGCCTGGGCTGCTGTGAAACGTGGAGGTTGGTGGCCCTGCATGGCACAGGGGGGTTGGAGCTTTGTGATCCTTGAGTCCCTTCCAACCCAAGCCATTCTGTGATTCTATGATAGAATCTGTGCAGGGAGCTGCAGGAGGTTGAAACGACCCAACAGAACAGTTTTCCCTGTGGATGTAGCTGTGCTGGCCCTGGCTGGAGGTAGGGTGGCTGTTTGCCAGCAGCCTGCATTAAGCCACAGCTGCGGGATCGTTCTGCATTGACCTGTGTGAGCGCTGCTCTGCTCTGGTACCCAGCGTGCACTGTAGCAACGATTCAAGGCTGCAGGCTACGTAGGGTGCTGCAGTGATCCCTTCTCCACCTTTATAAGGAATCCCACGTGTAAAACTGGCAGAATGCTGCTTTTCATTTCTAAACAAACGTCCCGTTGCCAGCTGCTGTGCCAGAGCTCGGCCTGCTTTAAGGCTGGGGGCAGCTCCTGGGTCTGCGTGTCACAAACTCTTTGGTGCCCACGGTTGGCTGGGGCCTCCTGCACTTTGCAGTCCCCTGTGAGGGGCTGTGGGCTGCGGCTCCTCGTTGCAGTGCTGTGCTGCTTGGTGGGCGGGGGGCACAAAGCCATGTTTGCTGTTGCCGGTGCCCCAAAACTGATTGTGTGTCGCTTCCAGGTACATGAGTAGACCTGTGATGAGCGGCCCTGGTCTGTATGATCCTACAACCATCATGAATGCAGACATTTTAGCCTATTGCCAGAAGGAAGGATGGTGCAAATTAGCATTCTACCTTCTATCATTTTTTTACTACTTATATGGGTAAGTTTGCTCCTCTGTCCTCTGTCTCATCTTTAGTCTGCTCTTTTAGGCTGGGCGCAGTGCCAAGAGAAGTTTTGAACTCAGCAATGTAAATAACGCCAACTTGCCTGAGGAAATAATTCACACAGTGCCTTATATTCCATTATAAAACACGAGTCTTAATTTGGTTGGAATTCCTCATTTGAATCTGGGCATTAGAACGACTGGAGAGCTCCAGGCCTCTCTTCTGTTAAGCACAACCTGAATGCCACCGTCCCCACCCAGACCTGTGTGTCCATGACGAAATGGGAGCAGCAGCACTTCTCAGTTGTGTAGGCATTAGAACCGATTTTTCTTTAAGGTGGCGCTCATTCCAAGAGTGAACAGGGAGGGGACCCACAGGAGCCATCACAGCTCCCTTCTGCCCTGTCCTGCCTGCAGGCCAAAAGCTGATGGGCGTCTGGGCGATGGGACGCAGCTGCTGAGTGCTGACATGGGCCAGGGGTGCTGCAGGGCTCCCTGTACGGTGCTGCTTCATCTGCTTGTTGCATCGGTTCTCATCATCCTGCGCAGTGCCCTCTGGTGTTTGTGTCACATCTCCAGTCCCCGTCCACGTGCCTCACACGGATTTGTTCCTCTGAGACCTCATAATTCAACGTGTAACGTTTATGAAAGTTACACACCTGAATGTTATTTTTCCTCTTATTTTTCAGCATGATTTACGTTCTGGTGAGCTCTTAAGAAGACATTCGGCAAGCTTTGTTCCATTTAAGTGCATGCAAAAGCCACAAACCATGGATTATTTACAGCGACCACGTCGTACCAAGATTAAATACGGAACCCGATGATCGCATTTGCTTTACAATGACTCCCCTATTTTTAAAACATTTCCACATTTTATACTTGTGGAAAGACTGTTTTCTTATATTTTACCGGGACACTGAAATTATGGAATTACATTAGTATAAAGATTACTGGGTTTTGACTTTGCACTCCATAAGGAACAGCCGTAGTCCTCGATAGGTGTTGGTAACTGAGCAGCCATAGCACAGCAGTTCCTTTGGGCTTCAGCCCTGCATCCCTCTGACTGCCATCAGCTGTACTGCCACGGGCTGGGCTGTGCCGTGCTCTGCCTGTAGGTGATGTCAGTCTGAAGAGATGAAGGGACACAACTGCAGAAACAGCACTTCTGTTCTTTTTTCCCTTTCCTACCTGGGTAACCTTTCCCTGTCAGTGCATGGTTCTGTATTTTCACCAGCTGCTAGCCTTGCTGTAATCACAGGCGTGTCGTCGTGATAGGAAACATTGCATTGTCCACAAAGGAGTGAATCTGATGATTTGTTTGCAGTCCGTGCACAGACACCATTAGCAAACTTAACTCACAAATGGATAAATGCACACTTATCAATTCCAACGGTGAAAATACTCCTGAGCTTGAGAGTAATACCACAGAGCTTCTCAAAGGAGAGATTGTGAAACTGCCCTGCTGTTCCTTAGTGCAATAAATAAAGTCTCAAATTCAGAACTGCTTATTTTTAGTGGTGCCTCGTTTTGTCTTTAAATTCATCTGTTGGGATCATTGCATACCTTTTAGAACCAGAACACAGAATCCTGTCTGAAAAGGGAAGCTCCAGTTCCCTGCTTTTGTGTTTTTGTGGCTCTGCAGATGAACAGTGATTGGGGCTGGGAACATTGCATTGTAAATGGTCGTTGTGAACAGCTTCCATGTGATAATAAGAATCTTTTCCATTTAGCCGTTGAGGAAAATGAAGTAATTTTCCAGCTGTAGCAACACATTTTTGTATAAATAGTTTATTTGTTCCCTTTGAGGTGCTGGATCTAATAGCACAACATACGGGTGGCTGCAGAACTCTGCACAGTGGAAGAAAATAGGTAGAAACCCACGTGTTACAGATCTCCTGCACTGGGGACATGGCATCTTCAACAGCCATTGAATGGCTCCCATTACTTTGGCTGCTTTTTGAGTACTTCCATAGCCTAGAATGAAAGGTGGCAGAGGCAGTGAGCTGTGCCTCACAGGATGTGTGTGTATGGGGGGAAGGTGAAACCTGCTGGAAAATTCTGCTGAATTTCACGTGGTGCCTCCAAATTCCTATTCCAACCCACCCCAAACTGCTCCAAGCTGTACTCCACCTCTTCTGTGTTAAAGAGACTTCTTTTCCTTAAGCTGTAACTCTGAGCTTTTTGCTAAACAACGTTGAAAGTTTCTTTGGAAATCCATGCAATGGTTCCTATTGGACCATCCTTGTTTTTTCCTGCTTCACTTTACTGCCATTTGAAACGCAGGGCTGTGAGAGCAGAGCCATAATCCTGTGCACTCAGCTGCACAGAAGCAAAATATTCCTCAATAAATAAAACAGTAAAGCTTTACATGTGGGAATCCAAAAGAAAAAGCAGGAGAGTAACTTCCTAATGGGATTCTACTGTGAGCTTCAGCTTCCAGCTGCCCCCAGGAACAAAATGCTTGGCTTGAGTCTGTCCTGCTGCTGCAGATAAGTGTGCCAGAACTGAGGAATTATACATAGCTATATATCTACTATGTATCTATTATATATAGCTACATTTTACAAACAAGGCTGTAGCCAGGAAGTACATTTGTCTCTTCTCCTTTCCCAACACACTAAAGTAGAAGGCAGCCTATTGGCATTCCAAGTCTGTACTTAGCTGCAATAGGGTTACAGATGGTTTTGTTTCCACCTGCATGTCCAACACTTGTCCCAGTTCTCATGCTACATAAAAACAGAGACAAAACACAAATGAAATTCGGTCATAGCTTTGATAGCCCAGCCCTGCTTCCATGCAGTAAGCACAGAACGTCAACACAGAGAGGCCAGCACACCAGTGTAGTGACAGCACAGTGCCAAGAGATGCTGAACATCAGATAGCCTACATTTGGATGCTGGGGAAATTCTTCACAGAGTGGTGAGGTGCTGGAACAGCTGCCCAGAGAGGCTGTGATGCCCCGTCCATCCCTGGAGGTGTTCAAGGCCAGGTTGGATGGGGCCCTGGGCAGCCTGGGCTGCTGTGAAATGTGGAGGTTGGTGGCCCTGCATTGGTGGGGGGTTGGAGCTTCATCATCCTTGAGGTCCCTTCCAACCCGGGCCGTTCTGTGACTCTGCTCAAGTTGTCCTTGTGTTGAGAAGAAGCCTGTTAGGCATTCAGGTCAGCACCACACCAGTAATGAACACAAAACAGTTCAGTGCACTTTAAGGCAGTGAGTACAAAGGATTGCTAAAAAGATGCAGAAGCTCTACGTCCATCAAGATTCCTGCCCCCAGCCCCAACACTTGACACACACATCTGAAAGCGAGCAGCGGTGGCACTGAGGCAGCAGCAACAAGCAGGTACTGAGGTTGGGATGAGCTGCCTTGTCCAGGTGTTTGCCACAGCCACGCAGACAAAGCCACTCCAGCACACGTTCACCGTGACACCGACCTCTGCGCTGCACCCCGTGCTTCCAGCTGTGCAGCTGCACTCCCTCGGAAGTCATGGATATAATTGTACTGCTGAAAAAGCACAGTGACATCTGTAAGGACATTTGTACTTCTGAACAGCTGCAGCCCGTCTTAAAAGGCCACCTGACTCCCCACCATTCAAGCAGCACCCTCCAACTCTGTTCAAATAGTTTTTCTTCTTGTGCTCACTCCAAATCCTCTGGAATTTTTTTAACCACTGGACAAATGAGATGGATCTTAGCTCAGGTTCTACGCTTGCCAGAAAGGACACGTGAGCTGAAGGTAAGTCTAGGAAGGTGGCAGTTCCATGTTAGAAATCAAAGCTGCTTTGTTTGGGCCAACCAAGGAGCTCTGCTCACCACAAAGAGTCCATGATGCCAAACAATCTCCATTCAGCATAATGAAACCCAGCAGTTTGTGCTAAGAGCTGTCATGTCAACCCATACATCATTTGGAGCACTAATATCCAAGTGTTTAATATGAGATTTAATGATCAGAGGCTAAAGGAGAGAGCAACCCAAGCGAAGGCTTCAAATGATAACATTTGTTCATATTTCCTACTCCCACCCCAACCTCCTTCAACCAAGGATGCAAGCTGCTCCCTCACCTGTCCTCTTGGCTTGTGGAAAACTGATTTTCAACAACTAGCTCAAATTAAATTTGGGTTCCATAGAGGCTTAGAGCTGGCAGACAGCCTTCAGGTAACTCCTTTTTTCTTGGAAGCTACTGCCTTGCAAACTCATTCAATGTCAGCTTCTCTTGTCTGTACACAGAACTACTGTAAGAGCATAACTTATGTATGAACTTCTGCTGGCCCAAGAGTAGCCAAAATCCATCAAAGCAAGAAGAATAGAAACCCAGCTGTTAAGCAGCTTAAGACCCTCCATGTAGGGTTTGAAAATAAAGTTAGGGGTACTTCTTGAAAAACTGCTTGGGCTTTCATGTGGCAGCTACAGTTAGGATGAGTTAGAAAGATTTAAGAGAGAGGCAGAAAAATTAAACAGAAGAGAATGAGGACAACAGAAAGATGGACATCAGCTTAGTGAGTTATGAGCAGGGATAAGGATGAGAAAGCAAGAGATTACTAATGATGGCAGAGAGCAGACAAGCAGGACGTGTGCTGAATTCAGTATAGGCAGGCCAGGCTGGCAACAGGAGGAAAGAAAAATGCCAGAGGCAGCTCAAACTCAGGAAAGAGGTGGGGGCAGCAGATGTGAAACACCTCCAAGAGGTGGAGGGATCCCTTTGTGAAGCAGAAGGAAGGGCTGTCCAGACTCTCCACTTGTTTCAACCATCTGTTACCTGCTGCAGTCCCATTACCTTGACTGTCTGTATCGCCCGAGATCCCCTTAATTCTCTGAGGCTGTCTATTGCTTGCTGAGGTGTCACCACATCCGAAAGCTGAAGCAGGAGGCATGCAGCTACTGTAAGGGAAAGGCAAGCATGTATTCTGCTGAGCACCTCTTGCTCTGCACAGCACTGCTTTGGCACAGCAACTGCTCTATTCTCTGAAAACCACTCTAGGCAAAGCCAACCCCGCCATATCAGAGATAACACATCTGCTGGACCTTTTACCAAATAGAGTTGGGTGGCCTTTGTCCCATCTGACTGCTGCACCTTTAAGCAGTGGTGCCTCGTGGGAACAAAGGTCTAAATCAGGTTGGTTAATCAGGCACGAAGAGCTGCTTACTGAGACAGGAGCGTCCGAGGCCACCGTAACAGCTGCAAGAGAAGAGAAGGTTTGGTTACAGCAAGCTGTGGCACACTGCAACTCTCAGCCCCCCATATGCAAGTGTAAGATAGAGCTCCTGCCTCAATATATTCAAGAGCAGCAGTAGTCTAATTACTTCTAGAAATACTGAGTATCCTCTATTTATTCTCCAAAGCTTCCATTTTTACTGTCACTTTGGAGAATGTGCTGTTTTAAAGTTCCTCTTCGTTCATGGTAACAGCCCCAAGGGCACAAGAGGTCAACAAAAGGTGTGAAGAGATCTCCATTTCCTTAAATCCTGCTCCAGGTTAAGGTTCTGATAACAGCTGTGAGTTGATGGTAACAGCAGGCCTCTGCAACAGTGAGAAGTCCAAGAATTTCAGTGGCTGGCTGTGCAGGAAGCTGTCAGCAGGATCTCAGGGAACATGGATCTGGGAAAGCTCGTTTTCTCTACCCTGAGCTCAGCTACAAATGCTTAAAGATAGAACTTTCAACAAGTCTTATGCAATTTAAAATGAATTTGGCACTGCTAGGACCCAATGAGCCTCTGGTAAACAGCCTGGGGTACGTTATCCTGTGACAGTGTCTGCTTTAACTTACAACTCCTCCTACAGACCTGATATCCAACCAGCCCAGCCACAAGGAGCAGCACGGTACCAGTCAGCACACATTTTGAAGCATTTGCAGGACAGAGAAGGGGAAAGAGGGAGAAACAGATCTCAGAAAGACCAAGTCAGCTCCAAAGGGGTACAAGAGGTGAAAGAAGATTTTCACAGCTAAACCCAAAGCGACTGTCATTTGACAGGGTTCCATTTCAGGTGGTCATGCAGGAAGACTCGGTGAAGGAACCACAACTTACTGGATGATTGTCTTCCTGTTGCTTTCCAGGCAGCTTCTGAGCTCTTCCAGAATTGTGCAGCAGGTGGTGACGTCAGGAGCATCTCCATCTGGAATAGGATAGTGGTGCACACAGATCCCACGCTCTTGGTAGGCATCTATAAGGTTTGGTACTCGGTATTTTAAGAGCTCTCCTTTGGTACAAAGCACAAAAACGTCCTGTGTCCCACAGCTCTTTAGTTCGTCTGCCAACAGATTAAGCAAACAAACAAAGCCTATCAGGCTTAAGCATGAACAGATTTGCTACTTGGTACCAATCCCCTCGTTTAGCCTTTGAAGTTAAGACAACAGAAGTTAGCAATTTTGCCTTTGAGCAGCATTTATTTCTGTTGAGTCTTGCCTACACTTGTCTTCAGATAACCTGCAGGAGGAATTCTCAGTTCAGAATCAGCCTGACAAGGCTCACCCAAAGTAAGGTCAGCACTGAAAACAGTCCTACTAACCACTGCTGGCTTAAGCATGATTCTACCCCATCTCCAGCTATAACTGTCCAACTGTCTACCTTTTCTAGCCTTTACAGCTGAATCCCAAGCACAGATTTTTTACACTATTTCATCTTTTCTATCCTCTTCACAGTTTCCACTGGGAAGGGGAGATAACAGCTCTGTAATTCATCTCAGTCCTAACTGTTCTGAAGATGCTCTTGGCCTGCACATGGTATGTGACTTCACAGAACTCAAGTTACTGGGAGCAATACAAAGATAGCTGCATTGCTCCAGCCTGGAAATATCCTGCCCAGGTTAGATGAACAGCAGCTCCATCATACTCCAAGTCAAAGGAAGCCTGTAAGAGTATCTTCTGCTTCATTTTACACTCACATTGTTCTTACCCATTCCAGGGCAATGAGAGGCAATCAGGCTCTGAACAGAAGACTCACCGATATCTTTCTGAAGGTTCCTTCTAATGTCCTTAAACCTGCAACCTAAAACAAATGATGAATGCTGATTATGACCTGAGATTTCATAAATGCCTGCTACAACAGAAGAGCAAAGCAGGCACCCTCCCCTCAGCACCAAAGCCACATCCCCACAACAGTTCTTGGTTCTGCAAATGGATTGCTAGTGCAGAATGCAGTATTAAGCAAATAATGGTGTTTAAACTGTCATGGAACAGGATTTTAAATGTCACTCAAGGTTTTAAGCTATTGTACACCTTACAGATGAAAAGTTTGGGATATTATAAATCAGAATGCATTTGGTGCCAGGACTGTGCACCTCTGGAAGCATACCCTGAAAACATGGGTGCAGAATCCTGTACGAGAGCTCTGCTGGCAGGTCTGCACTGCAGTTTAGCAGTCAAAGGTTGAACATCTATTACAGGAGCAGCTCATGTAGCTTAACATGAAAATGCAACTATTTCTGCTGTACATGATAGCAGGTGTTTTTGTGGGATTCTCATCACTACTGGCACCACCTACTGAAGGTATCTTAAATCACAAAATGGCCTGGGTTGCAAAGGAGCACAGTGCTCATCCAGCTCCAACCCCTGCTGTGTGCAGGTCACCAACCAGCAGCCCAGGCTGCCCAGAGCCACATCCAGCCTGGCCTTGAATGCCTGCAGGGATGGGGCATCCACAGCCTCCTTGGGCAACCTGTGTCAGTGTGCCTCACCACCCTCTGGCTGAAAAACTTCCTCCTCATATCCAACCCAAACCTCCCCTGTCTCACTTTAAAACCATTCCCTTGTCCTATTACCATCCACCCTCACAAAAAAGCTGTTCCCCCTCCTGTCTACATGCTCCCTACAAGTATTAGAAGGATACTACTTGGAAGACACTCGGCCAAATAACAGAAAATAGAATTTAGGGCTACGAGATAGTTCTTCTCGTCAGCTCAAACACACCCACAGACTTCAGCAGTGCTGCTTACCTGGCAGGGAACACACAGCCAGGAACGCAGAGGAGTAGGCAGGAGGCAGCGGAAGCCTGTCAGGAGATAGACCGCAAGTTAAGTAATGGGAAAAATATAAAAAAGAAAAGCAGCACTAAGCTGATCACTTAAAGAGAGATTTTGTACAACACCGAGGGAACAGCACATCCCACAGCACGCACCCGCACAGGGCCGATAGAACCCCACAGCGCCCGCCCCGCTCCTCACCAGGACAGCGGCAGCGGCGCCGGCTCCTCCCCCTCCTCCTCCTCTGCGGCCTCTTCGTCTGACGAGTCAAAGCCCGCTACGTGCATGGCTCGCGGCTGGATGGAGAAGAGCGACGAACCCACCGGAGCGCTGCGCTACCCCTCGCTTAGGGCCGAGGTTGAGGGGCCGAAAATCCCGGCCCCGGCCCCAAGATGGCGCCGCTCCCCTCCCGCCGTCCTTTTGAATTCAGCCCGCCCACCCGCCGCATCTCATTGGTCAGCCCTTCCCTCGCGTCGTCCAATGGAGAGCCATCGAGGGGCCTTCTCTATTTGGCGGCCAGAGGAGGAGAAGCTCGTTGATTGGCTGGCGGCGATGTCGCTTGAATTTGGCATCTAAAAAACTCGCATCCAGGCTTCACTTTCTGGAATTTTCTGTCATAGAATCACAGAATGACCTGGGCTGAAAAGGAGCACAGTGCTCACCCAGCTCCAACCCCTGCTGTGTGCAGGTCACCAACCCGCAGCCCAGGCTGCCCAGAGCCACATCCAGCCTGGCCTTGAATGCCTGCAGGGATGGGGCATCAGCAAAGAAAAGTAGTCATGGATGGCCTAAAACTTGCTCATAGGAAGTTCTTTACTAACGTGTGGAAGGACTTCTCTACAGTCAGGATGACAGAGCGCTGGAACAGGCCTTAGAATGCTGTTCTAGAGTTCAATAAGGCCTGCCCCCATTGGGGTGTATGGCAAGTGGAATCTAAAACAGCTCAGTCCTGTTTTCTTCTGCCCAGGGTTGTATCATGGCACCAGTGCAATGAGTCCCTTGGTTGCTCTCAGTGACAGGAGATGTGCTGTAGGCAGCCACTAGGTGAGCACCTTGATGCTAATTGCCTGGTCCACTGTTGGCACTTGCTAGGCCTGCCTTAGCCCTCTTGCTGTTTCGATGCACGTCTCACCCTCTCAGACCAAGGCAGAGGCCAAATGTAATCAAACTGCCATCGCTGGAGAGGACTGCGTCCTCTAGCAAGATGTGCTGCTGTTTCAGGCCACAGTCTCGGTCTCATCTTGGAGCAAGATTGCAGTCTCAGCACGCCTGGACAGTATCCAAGGATGGATCCAAGTTGAAGGAGGAAAGATTTAGGTTGGATGTTAGGGGGAAGTTCTTCACAAGGAGAGTAGTTAGGCCCTGGAACGGGCTGCCCAGGGAGGTTGTGGATGCCCCGTCCTTGGATGTGTTCAAGGCCAGGTTGGACGGGGTCCTGGGCAACCTGATCTGAATGTGTACGTTTGGTGGCCCTGCTAGGCAGGGGGGTTGGAACTACGTGATCCTTGAGGTCCCTTCCAACCCGGGTGATTCTGTGATTCTGAGTATCAGACAGTTGTATGGGCAGCCCCCATGCTTTAGCAGCTGCCCATGTTGTCTTTTGTCCAGCTTCTGATATGGCCAGCAGGCGATGCTCTCATACGGTGAATCCTCAATCCATCAGACTCGAGCCAGTGTGTCAGCTTCATCATTTCACAAATCACAGAATGGCCCGGGTTGGAAGGGACCTCAAGGATCACGAAGCTCCAACCCTCCACCAATGCAGGGCCACCAACCTCCACATTTCATAGCAGCCCAGGCTGCCCAGGGCCCCATCCAACCTGGCCTTGAACACCTCCAGGGATGGACGGGGCATCACAGCCTCTCTGGGCAGCTGTTCCAGCACCTCACCGCTCTCATAGCAAAGAACTTCCCCCTGACTATTTGCCAGTGATTGTAGAGCTCGGTGGCCAGAAACATGATAGACATGTAGGGTCGTGTGTTTAACCACATCCCTAGCCACATATCTCTGCCCCAGACTGGTTGGGCATGGATAGTCCATTCCTGAGTTGCTTTGATTGCTTGGTTTGGTCCCAGAGTCCTGTTGATGGCTCAGCACTGGAAATGCACAGAGGGACTGTCACTAGTGAGCTGTCAGAGGGAATTAGCATTCTGCAGGTAGCAGTCATAAATCCTTCCAGTGACATCAACCTTATGATTCTGCAGCAGTGGATATTAACCTTTTCCCTCATGTAACAATTTAAAGAAGTTTTCAGGCTTCTCCTCCCCACAAAAGTCATAAAGAGTTAGAAGTTAATTACAAGCTCTCACACCAGATTCACCCCTGCGTATATGACATTGGCCACACTCTCAGCACTGTTCTAGGCAGTGTGTGCAAGTGCCCTTCTCCTCAGCTGTGTTGCTTTGTGCTGTGATTGCCTTAAGGCTCCTTGCCTGATGCAGTTTTCCTCCCAGCTGTGGCCACACCTGAGGATATGGGTTCAGATGCTCTCACTGCTGTCAAGGGATCCCCACCTTTACACGTTTTATTTGTTCAGCCAGCTGGTGCCACTATTCTTTTCTTTCCAGCAGATTTTTTTCCTCCTGTAGTAGAAAAAAAATAACAATTTGCCAAAACCTGAGGAGCCCAATTCTGTTCTGTAGCAGGAAGGTGAAAATTTCCTATCTCAAAAAAACTGGATGACTTTCATGTTCATAATGGTCACCTGAAGTCATTTTCTGTGCAGGGGGATGGGGCCCAGGGATGCAGTGCTGGTGATCAGTATGGGCAGATAGCAGAGCATGGTGAACGTTTCTGCTTTTTAGGTACAAATGTCACAAAGCTTTACGTTTCTGGTAGAAAATGACACATTGCTCTCCTTGAGTGTAATTAACTCTGATTGAACAACATCACAATTTCTTGCTTTCCTGGCAGAACTGAAATGTGGCATGACAGAGTGTGGGCATTTTTATAAACCTGAAATAAATTTATCTTGCTCTTCCCTCTGCCTTCCTCCTCTTCACATACCAACAATAACAGCAATTAAAGAAGTCATTAAGCTATTGCAGGAGGCATTCAGGTCTAATGGAAACCAGCTCCTCTCTGTGAAGATGAGGTTCATCAACCCACTGGTGACTGTGTCAGCTATAGTTTTCTGCTTGTCCTAATTTTGCCCTAAATTAATCTGTTTGGACCATGGATCAAGGCTGATTTTTGTCTGGCAAGTCCTTCGTGTTGCAGAAGTGCAGTGGGAGGAGAGAGGCAGGACGTCCAGAGAGAAAACCTTTCCCTGACCCTCATCTGGTGCAGCTCCAGGCTGTTCCCTAGAGAGCAGAGCTCAGCACTGTGCCTTTGCTCCCTGTGAGGAGCTGCAGGCTGCCATGAGAAGCTGTAGGCTGCCGTAAGAGAGTTGGGTAGAGAGGAACCCGATGGGCTTCAATTAGAGCAAATGTAGAGTCTTGCACTTGGGGAGGAATAACCGCACGCATCAGTACAGGTTAGGGGCTGACCTGCTGAAGCTGAGCTCTGTGCAGAAGGACCTGGGGGTCCTGGGGGATGACAGGTTGGCCATGAGCCAGCAGTGTGCTTTAGTGGCCAAGAAGTCCAGTGGATCCTGGGGGTGCATTAAAAAGAGCAGGGCCAGCAGGTCGAGGGTGGTGATCCTCCCCCTCTACTTTGCCCTGCTGAGGCCACATTTAGATCACTGTCTGGGGCTCCTCAGTTGAAAAAAAGACAGGGATCTCCTAGGAAGAGACCAGCAGAGGGCCGCAAAGATGATAAAGGTTCTGGAGCATCTCTCCTATGAGGAAAGGCTGAGAAACCTGGAACTGTTCAGCCTGGGGAAAAGAAGACTGAGGGAGAATCTGATTAATGTTTATAAATATCAAAAGGGAGGTGGGAGGCAAATGGATGATGCCAGGCTTTTCATAGTGGTGCACAGTGAGAGGACAAGGAGTAATAGCCTAAAATTTGAACATACGAAGTTCCATACCACCGTACAGAAGAACTTCTTCATAGTGAGGGTGATGGAGCACTGAAGCAGGCAGCCCAGAGAGGCTGTGGAGTCTCTATGGAGACATTTGAGGTCTGGATGCCTTCCTATGTGACCTAGCATGGGGTCCCTGCTTTAGCAAAGGGATTGGACTCGATGATCTCCTGAAGTCCCTTCCAACCTCTGCAATTCCATGATTCTGTGGCAAGGAGCTGCAGCCACCATGATGACTCCCCTCAGCCTCCTCTGCTCTGCTCTTAACAAAACCAGGGCTCTCAGCCACCTCTCACATCTCCTGCTCTCAGATCCTTCCCCACCTTCATAGCCTTCCTCTGGACACTGTACTGGTTACACTAGCTTGCTGTCCTGTAAGCTCTGGGGGAATGTTTTTTCTGTCTCTTTTTAAACAAAATCCAAGCTCACTGCAACTCAGTCTGTAGGTAAATCAATCAAAAATGGAAAAAAAAAGGAGCAGAATTTGAATATTAGAATAAGTTTGAAAATTTATTGAATCATTCTCTGGCTTCTTTTTAAAAACTAGGAAAAAAATATAGCAAGTAGTTGTGAAAATGTAGTCCTTTGGATGCTGCAGGACTGAAAGTTTCTATTTTAGCAAGAGATGAGTGATCGTGTCTTGAAGTTACTTTATTCTTTAGAAGTGTCTTTCACAACGAGGAGGAGGCCTCCTTTATCACAGATACAAACAACTTGCCTGCTGGTGTCCATTCCGGTACGCAGAATCATCCCTTCTGGCAGAATCAAGGCATGAGCTCTCATGTGATTGATACAGGTGCTGGCAGATCAAAATCTGTCTGTTTTCCTGCTGAGGAGAGAGCTTCCCTTGTAAGATCTCTTTCCTCAGGGTTTATGAGCTAAACTGGGCAAACAGCTTCCTTCTTTCACAGCTATGAAGGATGTCAGAACGTTGCAGCTGTATGATACGTGCTTTTCTCTGAGATTATTGCTTTGAAAGCTCTGAAATCTCAGTTTCACCTTCTTGTGTCCTCACTGAGCTTTCTTGCACAACATTCCTTCAAAACAGAGGAGAAAAACAGTAGAAACAGAGATGAGGACATAGAAACATGCTGTTTTGTTCCCTTACCAGCCCCGAAACACAGGATGCAGGCAGGAAAGCTTTGCACAGGCGATTCTGGCTGCCACCAGGTTTGGTCTGTATTTATCCTATTTCACAGCAGGATTTAACACCATTGTGAATGTTACTGATCATCCAGAGGATATCTTCATGGCTGCCAGGTGTTTGTTACGTTACAAGCTACAGTTTGCCTTGCTAAGTGTTGCTGCTGTGTTGGAGCTTTCATAGAGAGGAAGCTGCCAGCGATGTCCTCTTACCATAACACTCCCATGAGAGCTGGTGGCTGGAAGGAGAGGTGACAAACCTTGGTGCAGCTATGAGATATCCAAATCATGGACTCCGT